GGAGTGTTCCCTTTTCCCCACAACCTCTCCAGCATAAGTTGTCATTAGTGTTTCTGATCTTGGCCATTCTTACAGGTGTAAGATGGAATCTCAGAGTTGTTTTGATTTGCATTTCTCTGATGACTAAGGATGTTGAACATTTCCTTAAGTATCTTTCAGCCATTTTAGATTCCTCTGTTGAGAGGTCTCTGTTTAGGTCTGTACTCCATTTTTTTTTTTATTGGATTATGTGATCTCTGGTGTCCAAATTCTTGAGTTCTTTGTATATTTTGGAGATCAGACCTCTGTCTGATGTGGGGTTAGTGAAGATCTTTTCCCATTCTGTAGGCTGTCATTTTGTCTTATTGACCATGTCCTTTGCTTTACAGAACCTTTTCAGTTTCAGGAGGTCTCATTTATTGTTTCTCTCAGTGTCTGTACTGCTGGAGTTCTATTTAGAAAGTGGTTCCCTGTGCCAATGCATTCAAGTGTACTTCCCACTTTCTCTTCTATGAGGTTCAGTGTGGCTGGCTTTATGTTAAGGTCTTTGATCCATTTGGACTTGAGTAGCAAGTGTTCTTAAATGCTGAGTCCCTACTTATAACGTTTTTTGTTGTTGTTGTTTGTTTCCTTTTTTAAATTTTTTTTTTTATTTAGGGGGTAAGAGTCCTTTGTGTGGCATCTCTTGTTTTTGTCTAGAAATCAAACCCTGGACTACACATATGCTAAACAGTGGCTTTGCCATTAAGATGTGCCGCCAGCCCAACAGTCTAGTTTAGAAGTAGAACATATTAGAAATGACCATAGAATTTCTTGTCAGCCAGGACCGTTTGAAAAGATAGAGGAGGGTGCTTTTCCTCCAAGTTATGCTGATTGGTTCTATTCCTTACACTTTGGCCTGCAAGATGGTTTCGTCTTCTTCCTGGCCTCCTTTCTATGAATTGTACAGTTGTTTCCTTACATTTTGTCACTATCTGCCCGAAACCTGACAAATTCCCTCAGCCCTGGTTAGCTAACCTTCATTTCCAAAAAGCTCCAAGCCCTGTGGTTGCCTCTGTTCAACATCTGAAAGAAAAGAGTTCCAAGAAAGAAAAGAAAAGATCTACATTTAGTGGGTTTGGCCCAGCTTCTCTCTTTTTCAACTGAAAATTTCAATAGGCACCAGTTGAAAGAAGCCAGACTTTGGGCACCAAAGTTGATCTGTATGATGAGCAAAAGGCCAGACAATAAATATAAATACATAGTTTTAAAAAGGAGAATAGTGTGCACAGCTATAACCCTAACATAGGGAAACCTGGTCTCAAAGAAGCAGGAAGGATGGCACATTACCTGTAATCCCAGCACTTAGGGGTGAGGTGGGAAGGAGGCTTGGGAGTTCAAGGTCAACCTTAGCTTCACAGCAAGTTCCACATCAGCCTGGGCTACCTGAAACTGTCTCAAGAAAGAAAGAAAGCAAAGAAGGCTAGAGCATAGTGGTGAACACCTTTAATCCCAGCACTCAGGAATCAGAGGAAGGTGTATTGCCAAGGCTACACATTGAGACCCTGTTTCAAGAAACAAAGTAAAACAAAGGAGGGGGAAAAAAGGAATGGTCTGAGGGTAAGTCATTCATGAAGTGTTCGTCTAGTATGTATGAAACTGGATTCTGTCCCCAGTGCTGTGTGAAACAAGCTCAGCTAATCTATGATCATTTCGACATGTCTTTTGTAATGTTTTCAGCTTTGGTTTTGTTTTCCCAAATGGTAAAAGGTGTATCTTAACAGGGTCATTATAAACTTAGGGCATCAAAACAACTGGGCAACAGAAATGGCTCAGTGAGTAAATATTGTGGAGACAATAGAATCTCCAAAAGCTCTCTGTCTATACTGACATGCACCACACTAACTGTTGTCCTTTTATCTTCATAGACCTCATGGCTTGGGCACACCCACATTCACATGCGTGTAAATGCATCACATGCATATTAAAAAAAAAAAAAATAGTGGGTACTTTTAATCCCAGTACCTGAGAGGGAGATCTTTGTGAATTCAAGGCCAGCTTGTTTTATACAGTTGGATCTTGTCTCAAAAAGAAAAAAAAAATCCAATCCTGTGTTTTGGTCAGTATGAGGTTATACTGTATGAGTGACTGGTGGTTCGTACCTCCTTTTGAAGAAATCGTCTTCACCATTGGCTTCAGAGGCTCTTCAGGTCCCAGTACCCACAGATGCTCAAGATTCTTCTACAAAACGGTGTAGTGTTTGCTTAGAACCACGCATACACAGAGTCTCCCATAGACTTTTATTAGTATGCTTTCTTGTTTTTTTGTTTTGTTTTTTGTTTTTGGACAGGGTCTATTAAGCCTAGGTTGATCTTGAACTTAATATGTAACAAGAGTCTAGTCTTGAGTTCTGGATCCTCCTACCTGCATCTCCAAAATGCTTGGGCTTCAGGTGTGTGTCACAACAACCAGCCCCTTTCCCCCATAGACTACTGTTCATCTAAAAGGGACTTTTTTTCTTTTTCCATTTTTTAGGGGAGGGAGGTAGACAGGTTGTGAACACTGGAGTTCCTAGGTTGATGTCAGCAATAATCTTCAGTTGTTCTTCTCTTTTATTCATCGAGACAGTGTCCTTCAATCCCAGAGCTTGATGGTGTGACTAACCTTACTAGCCTGCTCATTATAGGGGTCTCCTATGCCCACCTACTAAGGTTGGAGTTAAATAGGGGCCCCATGCCCTTTTCATGTGCTTACACGAAAGCACTGCAATTACTGAGCCGTTATTCTTAGTGTCAGTGCTGTAGAAATAAGTTATACTGTGTTTTTTTTTTAAGAGAATAAATGAAATGCCTTTAATTCCAGCACTCGAGAGGCAGAGGCAGGTGGATCTCTTGAGATGCAGGTCTGCTAGGGATATGTAGTGTGAGAATAAATGACAGAAAAAGAAAAGTTACACATGTTCATGTTCAGTACAAACTTGTTTTGTGTTTGGGGATGGAACCCAAGCATCATAAATGCTGGGATGAGCACTCCACCTCTGGCCATGCCTCCAGCCCTGGATTGTTTTCTAGTATTTCCTGTCTGGCCATTGTTTTGAGCTTATGGTAATAGAGTCTACAGGTGCTAAAAGCTGAGTATATTTTGAAATGATATCTTAGTTTCTCTGTTGTGTGTGTACCTGAGTTTGACTATTCTGCACTCAGGTAAAAATTGGGGAGGGAGAGTGAGTATAGACCAAGGGCTCACTGACCGGCCACCAGCCCAGCTGACACAGCAAGATTCAGATTCAATGAGAGATACACATGGGCTCACATTTGTTATCCCAATACTTGGACGGCTTGCGGGAATATTGTGAGCTCTGGACCAGTCCGCACTACATAGGAAGACCCTGTCATTTGTTCCTTTATTTCTACATTTGTTGTGTTTATGTGTGTGCTAAGGCATGTAGAGGTTAGAGGTCAGCTTGCTGGGGTTAGTTCTCTCCTTTCCCCATGTCTTTTCTGGGGATTGAGCTGAATCTTTAGGTTTTGTGGCAAGTGCCTTAACCTTCAGAACAATCTCTTAGGCTCCAACCCCGTCTTTTTTTTTTTTTTTTAAAGATTTATTTATTATGTACACAGCAGTCTGCCTCCATGTATGCCCACATGCCAGAGGAAGGCGCCAGATCTCATTACAGATGGTTATGAGCCACCATGTGGTTGCTGGGAATTGAACTCAGGACCTCTGGAAGAGCAGCCAGTGCTCTTAACCACTGAGCCATCTCTCCAGCCCCCCGTCTTTTTTTAAAAAAAAAAAAAAATGCCGGGCGGTGGTGGTGCACGCCTTTAATCCCAGCACTTGGGAGGCAGAGGCAGGCCAATCTCTGTGAGTTGAGACCAGCCTGGTCTACAAGAGCTAGTTCCAGGACAGGCTCCAAAACCACAGAGAAACCCTGTCTCGAAAAACCAAAATAAATAAATAAATAATTTATTTACTTTTATTTAATTTGCATTCGTATTTTGTTTCCATGTATGTCTATGTGAGGGTGTCCAATCTTGGCATTAGAAACAGTTGTGAGCGGCCATGTGGGTGCTGAGAATTAAATTAAACCCAAGTCCTCTGGAAGAGCAGTCAGTGCTCTTAACCACTGAACCATCTCTCCAGTTGCCCCCCCTCCTTTTTTAAAGCTCTGTCTCACATGCTGAGATTAGAGGCTTGTACCGGTGTGATGCTACCTCTTGAAAGAAAATATAAAATAAAACTTTGTCAAATTTATAATGATTGCAATTTATAGGCCCTTGTTTCAGGCATCTGTTTTTGTAGATGGTTTGATCAACTCTTGACTTTTTGTTCAGTATTTTAAGTGGGCTTTTTGTGAATTCTTGAGTCTGTGTCTGGCCCATGGCTTCACTGTCTACTTGCTTTCTGTATATACTACATCTTTTCTTTCAGTAGGTTTCGCCAAAAAGTGTTGACCTAGACTAAGCAAGGTCAGGTGCGTTGGGGGCACAAAGGACTGTCCTGTGTCAAACCCCTTTTGCCAGCCCTCCTTCCAGCGCATTAACTAACTGTAAGAATATATGACTCCATGGGTTTGGAGAAAGGAGCCTAAAGAAAGTAGAGTTTACTTACTTAGCAAGTAAGAGCAAGGGTAGCACACTTTTCTGTCCTTCCAGAAACATTGATTCTTGTATGTCACTTTTTTTACTAAATCCATGGGGCTGGGAGCCTGGCTTAGCCACACAGCATGTTTTTGGCAAGTGCAGGCCCTGAGTTTCATCCCCAGTACTGCAAAGAAGGGAATAACTAGGAACAACTAGGAAGATGTTCTGCAGTCAGAAAACTGATTGCTCTTTCAGAGAACCCAGTTCAGTTCCCAGTACCCACATGGCGGTTAACCATCTGTACTTCCGGTTCCAACAGACTTGACACAATCTTGTGGCTTTTATGGGCATGAGGCACCAAAGGGTAGTAGACATGCAAGCAAAACACCCATACATATAAAAAGAAAACAACCTTTGGAAAAGCACACAGGAAAATAAAGCTTAAAAAAATGAAAGGGCATGCTCACTTCAGCACATATACTAAAATTGGAACAATACAGAGAAGATTAGCTTGGTCCTTGCACGGGGATGACACAAAAATTCATGAACATTCAAAAAAAAAGTTATAGCGAAATAAAATTTCCCAGAAATGATGAGGCCGGAGTTTGAGCACTGGTGAACCCCAGGCATGGTGTCACCTAGAAGGACCTAGGTGACAATGTAAAGGGACAAGGGAGTTTATGTATCTAGGAAGGCTTTGTGGCTCAGGTGACAACTTCCACAGTATGATCTGGTGTCAGTGTGCTTCCAGTGCTGGGTGCCTGTGCCACACTGGACCCAGGGCCAAGCAGCTTCTAAGAGCATGCTCCCTGTGAATCTCAGCTTGTGCAACTTTTCCCAGCTGCTGGAGCTAGGGGTTGTGTAATTTCAAAGAGCCTAAAATAAGTTCTGGGTCTGAGGCCAAGCTTCTCTGTACTAGCATGACCTTGGCTCTCCTGCGAGAGGCTGTGGACACTGGGGTTTGCCTGAGATTAATGGGAAGGGTCTCCAGGTACTTTTTCTTTCATCTTTTTTGGGTTTACTCCAGGACTGAGCCCCCTTAATGGAGTACGGAACAGTGTTGGAGGGATGCCCTGTCACACGCCATTTGCTGGCAAAGCCTCTGTCCCACAAATGTGCACAAGTAGGCATGAGTTGGTGCCAGATGTGGACAACTCTGGGACAAGTTGGTTCTCCCAGCAGCTTTGCCTTTCCCTTCTGCCACCTGGCTCTCCTGCTGGATTGGAATCTGCCACTCTGCCCTAGTTGTCGAGGGATCTGCTCTACTTGGTGGCACCAATCCTTCTGTGAAAGAAGATGCTTCCTATCCAGAGACCAGGGTCCTTGAGTAGCTCAACTCCCTACTCCTTCCACAAGCCTTAGTCACAGGACTCCTGAGTCAGCCTATGTTATTGTGGTTCCTCTCCACTACTGAGAGGCCTGTTTCCCTGGAGGGCCAGAGTCAAGGTCACCTGGCCCAGTTAGGCCCCACAGGGAAAATGTCTCCATTAAAGCAGAGCTTCACACTTGCTCTAATTCGGGACTGTGGTGCCTGAGCCTACGCCCAGCAAACACACCAGTTCCCTGGACATTCTCATACATTGAGATGTGGCTGAAACTAACAAGAAGACCCTTGCCTTGCTCTCCAGCTATTTTCAGTCCTCAACTTCCCAACCCCCCCATGTGCTTGCAGACCTGGAGTGGAAGATCATTTATGTGGGCTCAGCTGAGAGTGAGGAATTTGATCAGATCCTAGACTCAGTGCTGGTGGGTCCTGTCCCTGCTGGAAGACATATGTTCATCTTTCAGGTAAGGAAGTTGCATCTTAGACCTTGATTTCTAGAAATGTTAGAGGTTGGAGATGGAGCCCAGGCCCTGACATACTAGACATGCACTCCCCTACTGAGCCACACCCAAGCCTAGAACCTTCCTCCTTTACCTGAAAGCACACTGGCTTTAGCAGTCAGGTTTAAGTTCAAATCATAAAAAGAACTGGAAATGGTTCCAACTACTCAGGATGCTGAGGCAGAAGGACTACAACTTCAAGGCCTGCCTGAGCCATATATCCTGGTTGACTGCCAGGAGCTGTCTGACCAAAGCAATGCTTCAAAGACCACTACTCAGGATTCACCCCACCTCTGAGTCACAGCTCTTAGTGACTTCTGGGCCACTAATTTGTCATCTGTTCACAGGAGTTGTGTTGTGTACCAAACCCATGAACACAGTCATGAATATTGAACTATTCCCCTCAAGGATTACGGGGTTTTGTTGTTACCTGCTTATGAGCCAGAGCTAAGCACATGCCTATAAGCCCAGCACACAGTTTGGAACCAACCTGGGCTCTGCAACAAGACCCTGTCTCAAATACCTTGCTAGTAAATGTTGACACATGAGCTCAGCCAGTTGCACTAGCCCATGTCTAAATCACCCAACACAGATGCTCCATAAGCTGCTTTTACACAAGCAGTACTTCACTGCATTTGGGGATCTTATTTATTTTGATTTTTTACTGTATGATGTAAATCTTTACTCATTGATTACATTTTAAGATATCTCAATAATTCATTTGGCATCAGTGAGTTAAACATTTGCATATATAATGAAGAATCAAGTAAATACTCAATTTTTACTAAAGGTATAGCTGAGTTTAGTGGTATTTGTTTTTAATCTCAGTACATGAAAGGCTAAGGTAGACTGCTTCAGGTTCAAGGCTAGCTTAGGCTACACAGCCAAATGCTGTTAAAAAAAATAATTAGGCGAGGTGTGATACACCTTTCATCTGAGCACTCCGGAGGTAGAGGCAGGCACGGGGACGGCCAAGGCTACACAGTGAGGCTTTGCCCAAACAGATAGAATACAAGGGGGTGTAGTAAAGGTGTGATGAATGTAAACTTAGTGTCTGTACTCTGCCCTGGGATTTTGGTAATGAAGCAAAGAAAGGTTCCAGAGGGTTCCATTTATGATTGCTAAGCTCTATGTTTCTAGGCCAAGAGAGAGAAAATCCTGTGGTAGTTGGACTGTGTAGCAGAGCTGTTCACATTCTGACAGGCAGAAACCAAGCTCACCATATGAAACTCCTGAATTTTGGCAGTAGGTAAACAGTCAAATAGAGTCCTTGTACTCTATATTAGAGGCAGGTGGATCTCTGTGAGTTCGAGACTAGCCTGGTCTACAGAGCTAGTTCCAGGACAGGCTCCAAAGCCACAGAGAAACCCTGTCTCGAAAAACCAAAAAAAAAAAAAAAAAAAAAAAAAAGTGGAAGAAAGCCATGTAGCCCCTAGTTTGGTCACATGTTGGAACCTGAGCACCAGGTTTTCCTTTCTCTTTATGTGTCAGTTGTTAGATTTGCAGTTTCTGGTTGTATCAGGCTGGCAGATTTGTAAACTCAGAATCAGTGAATATGAAGATGGGCTGTGGCTTCTAAATGGTACTGTGTCCAGTCCGGTGTTACTATGCTCATTGGCAGGTGCTTAGGATTGCTTAGGTGTAGTGTTTTCATTTGCATTGGTTCTGTACAACATAACTGCTCCCTCACACTGATCTGTGATTCTGTTCTCTGTCACTGGGTTTAGTCATCCTCTCCAGGATGACTCCTGCCTGGCTTCCTGCGGCCAGACCTCCTTTTCTAAACACCGCTCTTACCCAAGCATGCTGGGGTTGCTCCGTATCCAAACGACCAGTCAGTCCCCTGTACATCACTTTCCACCTGAACACCCTGTCTCTTAGTCAAATTCAGCAGTTTTGAATTAATTATTGTTGTTATTATTACTGGGACTAAGGACTATGCATACTGAACAATGATGCTGCCAAATTAAATTCATGATCTCTTCTTTATAGTCACTTGTATGATCAGTTTGTCTAGTCCCAGCTCTTTGGTTAGTCTTTGTGTCCTGATTGGCAGTGCTAAAGCCTAGGATTTGTCTCCCCAGGCTGATGCCCCAAACCCATCCCTCATTCCCGAGATGGACGCTGTGGGTGTGACTGTGGTTCTTATCACCTGTACCTACCATGGACAAGAGTTCATTCGTGTGGGCTACTATGTCAACAATGAATACCCAGACCCAGAGCTTCAGGAGAACCCACCCCCAAAGCCAGACTTTTCTCAGGTAAGGCCTGTCTCTGTACTTCCTGCTTCAGACAGGCCAGTTCTTTACAGCTGTCTGAGCCAGAGCTAGGATAGAGCAAGTCTTTTCTTGAGGCATGCCTAACAGAATCAAAGCTAGAGCTAGGGAAGTGGAGGGCACTGTGATCCCACCACCCTGGCCCTCATAAATTAGAGGCCAGCCTCATCTGCATGGGTTCCAGACCAACATAGGCTACATAGTAAGACCCTGTTTCCAGGGGGGCATGGGAGGGAGTGCTGGAGGCCACTAGAGAGAGAACTCAGTGGTTAAGAGCACTAGCTACTCTTAAGATTTGATTTGAGGGGGCTGGAGAGATGGCTCAGAGGTTAAGAGCACTGCCTGCTCTTCCAAAGGTCCTGAGTTCAATTCCCAGCAACCACATGGTGGCTCACAACCATCTGTAATGGAGTCTTGTGCCCTCTTCTGACCTGCAGGCATACTTGCAGACAGAATGCTGTATACTTAATAAATATTTAAAAAAAAAAAAAAAAGATTTGATTTGATTGGTTCTGATTCCTAGCATTCACATAGTAGCTCACAGCCATCTTTAATTCTAGTTCCAAGGTATCTATGCCCTCTTCTGACCTACATGGGGATTAGGCATAAATGGAACCAATACACATTCATACAGTAAAGATATTTATAAAAAGAAAATAAGTGAGCCAGAGAGAGGGCTCAGCAGTTAAGAACCTTGCTGTTCTTCAGAGCCCAGATTCAATCCCACATGGTGGCATATCATCTAGCCACCCACGTGGTGGTTCTTACTCCAGTTCTAAGGCATCTGTGCCCTCTTCTGGCCTCCAAAGGCATCAGGCACACACATGGTACACGGACATACATGTAGCCAAACACCCATACACAAAAAAACTTTAAAAAAAAAATCATGCTAGGCATGGTAATGCATACCTTTAACCCCAGCACTTGGAGGCAGGCAGATCGCTCAGTGAGTTCCAGACTAGCCCAGTCTACATAGTTGAGACTCTCTCAAAACAACCCAGAAACAAATGAACAAAGCCAAGCAAAACCAGGACAAGGAAGACCCTGTTCCTACTCCACAGTGTACAAGCATTCTTGGGGCTCAAAGTGGGGGTCTGAGGGATTCCTGGCCTTTTAGGGATAACACTTAGGTAATAAGGACTGACATTCTTCTTCTTGCTCCAGCTTCAGCGAAACATCTTGGCTTCTAATCCCCGGGTGACCCGATTCCATATCAACTGGGACAACAACCCAGACAGGCTGGAGGTCATAGAGAACCAGGACCCCAGTCTGGATTTCGGCCTTCCTTTCAGTTGCACTCCTCTCAAAAGTCTGGGCCTCCCTACCTGCATCCCAGGCCTCCTCCCGGAGAACTCCATGGACTGCATCTGATGGGAGCCAGGCTGGTCCCAGTAGGACCATGGCCAGTCTCCTTGCACACCTGGAGGGGATCTAAGGCCCTCATGCTTGGTCATCTCAAGGATTTGG